TCTGCACTCACCTTCCCCCCACCCGGCTCCCAGGCCGGGAGCTCCCAGGCCGGCCAATTCGTTAACGGCGGGCATAAAGCATAACCTGCCTTTGAACAGGTCTGTGTCAGTGGTAAAGCAGAAATAACACCATACAATGGTACAGGAGAGGCCCACATCACCATAATAGTATTTTTTTGTCTTCAGAATGTACGGTAACTCATGTGGAAAGCAAATACATTTGGATTTATGAAAAATACGTAGTAAACTAGTCCTTCCAGAGCATGAGAACGTACTTATTAAAATAATGGAATGGTGGTTGGTTATCATTGCTTAGGCAGAGTAAGGACATTGAAGGTTTTCTGTAAGAACTTTGTGTGATATATTTAAAGATATCTAGGTTTCTCAAGTGTGGATCCTAAACCCTTTTAGTCATCTGCCTACCTCTGTAGCTGCCAAGGCTCCTTTAAAAATCTGGCTCTTTATTTATCCTCAATAAAGAGAGGAAACTCTTTATTGCTAACACAGCATAACTCACTCTTGGAAAAAGCAGAAGCATGCTGCGAAGGAAAGAAAGTTTCAGGAAGACATGTATTCTACACTGCAAACCACTTTCTACAGTCTATTCACCAACACAGCAGCAGAAACTAATACTTGCTACTCTGCCTCTTAATATCAATAGAATAAATTCTTCGTACAGCTGTGCCATTGCACCTTTTCTGGAGCCACTCCTCCTTTTCTAACTGCTGGGAAGGAAACACAGAGCAAATAGCCCAGGAAAAAAAAACGTTATTCTGTACTGTTTTCCTTCCAGTTATTTAAATACATTGTGTTAAAAATAAAAATGAACCAACATGTAGAAAAATCAAAGCACAATCAATAAACAAATCACTCCATTGCTTCACATAGATCGAATTTTCTTTATCTAGTACAAGACAGAGGAGAATCAAACCTCCACAGCAAATAAACAGATCCTACACTGATGAATAAAAGTTCTGTTTCTCTAACTGAGTAAAAGTTTTCCATCAAGGCCTACTTGCTAGTTCAGGTCATCACTCAGCATGCTTCAAACAAACAGTGCCTTTATTTATTTATTACAGTATATAGCAAATCAGGTATGCCAAGAAAAACAAGTACTATATGAACTGCAAATTTAAACAAAGCAATATATTCTGTTCTTTCTGCATCTTTTTTTATCTCTTCTTTAGTTAGAAGCATGCAATTCAGATCAAAATGAACACGTGTACCTCAAGGCACAAAGTGGCCTATTGCTGTAGTTAGCTGTATTTGTCTTAATGGAGTAAATTCAGTTCAATACTACACCCCTGTAAAATGGGAATAACTATGTTGAAAACAATTTAGCACATCTTTGTCTGTATTATTAGTATTAATTTTCGTAAGAGTGTTAGCTGTCACTTTACAGATATCCATGAAGACAAAATTCCTGCCTGAATAGTTTACAAAATAGCGCACACAAATAATAATAAGTCTGTTTTTTCCAGCTTCTTACATTGCCACTTGCATTAACCTGCCATTGATCCTCCTACTTACTAGGCAAGGCCTTGTCTAGAGGGAAAAGTTGCAGGTGCAGCTCCCTAAACTAGGTGACTTAAATTGACTTTACTATCTCCTCAATCAGTTTAGCTGAATTTTGTAAATTACAAAAACAATTTAAGGAGGTGGCAAACTGTTTTAAGTGCATCTGGCTTATAATCATTCCTTTAAAACCAGTTCAACATTTTCTTGTATAGACATGGCCTAGATTATTATCTGTCATGGATAAAATAATAGATCCAAATCCCACGGTGTGTAACAAGCAGGGAGTGCTACCCACCACAATGACAAAATGGGTCTATTATATTATGCAGGAAACGAAAAATAAGAATCTCTGTAACAGAGGAATGGAGGAGAGAGATGACTGTCTTGTTATGATGCTTCCCTACTCTTTGAAAACTTACATTTCAAAAGTCCTAATTCTGCTGCCATTTCCTATATGATGACTGGCAAATTTCTCAGACTTGGTTTTTTGGAGTCTCTTTGTTTTATTCTTTAGTTCCAGTACCTATCACCTGCACATAATTTTCAAAAGGAATAAAAACTCACAGCTGCAACTGTCTACCAGGAGCAGTGAAAGAGGTGTTTTGTAACATATAATCCTAAATTGTAACTAAATTATAACATCATCTCAGATTTCAATGTGCTCATTAGGTTGTGCCTCATGTTATTATGTAACTAAAATACAGTTTATGAAACTACAGTTTCATATAAATGTAGGAGGGCTTTTTTACCTTTTGAGCATGCTGCTCATCAGTGTCATTTCATAGCAAAGATTCTAGATCATTACGAAGCTGCCTCTGATTTTAGAATGTTTTTCACCTTGCAATACACATTTATTATTCTGAGCATCCCAAAATATCACCATCTTGAGTCGTGGCCCTGCACAACCTGAATCATCTGAGTGTTTTCTGTAGTTTTGATAGAGCTGTCTACATTAGTAAAGCTTCAAAGAACTAAGTTTGTACTTACATTTGTATTTTTATTGGTGGTTGCTTAGAAGCTGAATGGTTTTGTGAGCATTCCTTATACAAGTCTAAATTATTTATAAGAAAGTGGGGCTTAGCTGACCTTTGCAATGTCCTTTTTCCCATTTACGTATATACAAAATATAAAAGTCCCTAGCTGAGTTACATTATAAGAGTTTCAGTGACCAGTTAGAAGTAGAAGTGTTAGAAGAATGCACTTCTGTTAGGGCCATTCAAAGATGCTTTCCACAGATTTCCAGCTAAGTCTTGCCTAAACTTCAGTACTGCTTATCTTCAGTACTGCTTCATATATGGGTTACCCTAAAAGAATGTTGAATGTTTATAAAAGAAAAAAGTAGCAATCTTTAATGTTTTATTAACTTAAAGTTATAGAAATATTTGAGACTGAGTTAATCAAAATGAGCTGTTTTCCATCTTATAGCACATTGTGCATATGTCTGCACATGTACGCATATAATCATCCCACATTTCAAAATAAGAAGTCAATAACCTATTGTTTTCTCAGTAAACTAGCATTTCTCCTGACAAAACTGTGCTTTGAACAAACTGAATTTTCTGAAGCAAATCATTTCAACAAAAAAAATTGCAGCTGACTCACAGAATTCTGCCATCAGAAAATTTGGCTCAAACTTTACCCACATAACTCACTTTTTGGATGCTCACAATGAAAACACGGTCTCAAAATATTTGTTGATAGGTCTCTGCAGCAATATGATGTCAAATACAAACTGAATCAGTTTAGCTGAAAGAGGTTGACTGTAGTACAGACATTTTTGTCAGTATTATCAGAGGAAATTGAACATGTGTTATTTATAAGTAGCTTCACTTACACCTGTTTTTAACCCCAAATAGTTCAAGATGGTGTTTGATGTCCAAACTAATAACTTCAGATGTCGCTCCAGAGATAGTATCATCAGCATTCTGTGCTGTGAAACAAACAGGAAAAAAATAAATGCGACAGAAAGAAGAAAAAAATACAACAAAATATGCTGCTTAATCACATTGACAAGGGCAGAAAGAAATACAGTAATAATGACCTCATTTGCCATATTCAGTCTGAACTGCTGGGAGGTAAGTTTCTCTGTCCCTATTTCTCATATTCCCACTTATAAAGACATTTAACAGTCAATGATAAACAAGTTTAAAAGGTGTGAAAAGCAAGTTATGCATGTACGCTCAATGCATCAACACACTATTTCTTGAACTATACTGGTATGACAGTGTCATACAGTGCTGTAAAACTTGAACGTAAGAAGTCGCAAATTCTTTTTTGTTTTCTGATGCTGAATTAAAATAACTGTAGAGTGATTTCTTGTCTGAAGTGTACGCCTATACTTGAACATATGAAACTCTGCAGGATACTTTTTGTCCATAAAAGCAACCAATGAAAAGTACTGGAGCTGCAACATCCCATGCTAGCATGGGCCCATATAATACTCCTGGCTTTGCTTTGAATGTGACATTGTTAGTCAATGGCCTTGACTTAACGTTTTTCCATTCTTGTAGAGACTCCTACAAGAGAAAGCAAGAGTTTAATGCTTTTACTTTTATTTAGAGTTTTTACTTTCGTATACTTTTTCCTGCAGTGGAGTAGCAGATTGTCCTATCTGAAATGTTTCCAAAGAAAATCTCTTACATCTTTAATTAATGCTTCCTTTAATTCCATTTAAGTAAAGGAATATGTATTTGGTAAGAATTACAGGACTGTGGGACAAGGAACTGTTGTTCCTTCCTACGTAGTAGCAACAGATAGTGCAGTGCACACACAGACTAGGCAACATCTGCCCTTCTGCTCAATTTAGACAAGAGTTTATGGCAGAAGGATTCCAGAGCTTCCAGAGAGTCGCCCATAGCAGTTTTTTGCCACACTTTTCACATTCTACCCTAATTCACAGCATGACTCTTAAATTCCCCCCCTGTCTGGGGCAAAGTAGAATTAAATATAATACAATCTCCAGGATATGCTTAATTATCATTTTCCTATTATGGCAGCAGTAAATAAGTAACTTTTTTGTATAGACTTTATAATGCAATATACTGTAAGCTAGGAACTTTCAAAAACCGGAACAACCTAAAAGCTTTGAAGACAGGAGAAAAAGCCTCTTCCTGAAACTTTTTTATCTAATAACCTAATCTATTTTCCATTTAAGTTAATTATGCTTTTGTCCACCACGGTATGGTCCAAATACAATTAAAATCCCTTATGTTATGTTTTATAGCATGTTACAGTTATTAGGCTAAAATCACATTTAATAAATGATGTGCTCAATGACTAAGACATTGCAACAATCAATTGTGCAATTTAATTCTACCTCCCCACAGTGTATGTTATGGTACCTGTTTGGTTGGTTGGTTGGTTGGTTGGGTGTGTGGGTGTGTGGGGGTGTGTGGGGGTGTGTGTGGGTGGGTGTGTGTGTTTTTAATATGTAGGACTCTCTTTCATTTAGATCATAGAATGAACAGAGCTAAGGAAATTTAACTCCATCAGGGAAAATAACCAGACATGCTCTTAAGTTCTTTGACGCTCTGGGTTACCAGAGCACCTAGCATTTTTGAATATATTTATTCTCACCCTATGCCAAGGCAGTGGGAATATCCTCTTCTTCCCACCTGAAAGGATAGGAACTGACGTACAGAAAGGCTAAGTGATCTGCCTAAAATTATACATGTCATCTGTGGACAACTAGGGAACTGAACCTACATCTCCCAAGACCTATGCTGATACCGTAACTGTAGGGCAATATATACACTGTCTTGGTTTGTCCTGTTTTGTGTAACTGCTCAATGGCACTATATAATAAAATGTATTATTCCTGGACAGGAGAAGAAGCAAGTGTAGAACCATTATCTTTTTGTTTCCAGTGGCCACTACTTCCAGGCAAAAGGATATTCCTAGCTGAAGAGTGAATATTATTCTCCGTGTCCCTCCTAGAGTCGAGCGGTATAGAGCATGCAGAAGAAAGATGTCAATATGGGGCATCCACAAGTTCTGTAGAATATTGCAGAATTTTCACATGTTGACAAAACTAAACATACAACACACACCAAAGACAAGAAGTGAGGTTTTTCAATAGCTTAGAATTTATGCAATCTAAGTGGATTTTCATAAAGCCAACAAAAAAGATGCCAGAATTATCCTTCTGCCAATTTTCAAAGACCTGCTGCTAGCCATGGAGCACAGAACACTTAATAGAAAAGATTGTAGGTTTTTTTAATTGGAAAGTAGTCAGTAAACTTTATATGTAAACTGCTGCTACTGCTTCTCCTATAATTATATGTTGCACACACATACACAGATGATTTTTTTAAGCCCTGGATGACTGACTCGCAACAAACCTGAAGTGCTGTGATTCCCTCCAATCCATTACATATATGTGAATTTCAGGTCAGCTGCCTGCATTGTCGTGGAAAGTAAATTGCAGTACTGAAGCAACTGTACATCCTTGTCCATCAATGCTTGCTTGCTCACAAGAATGCAACAATCAAAGCTGGAAAAAAGGATTAAAGCTAGGATAAAGCCTAACTTGAGGACTACCAACATTGCAATTCTCTTCTAAATAATAGATCTGAGGTTTTAGAAGTCCAGTGAGGTATTTTCTTGCTCCAGGTCTCTGTCACAATGTCTGGAGCAGAGGCTGTCTGTCACACAGTCAAAGACAAAACAAAATTATTTCCGGAAATGCTTGAGCACAAAGATTAAACAACAAAGGAAGTGGCTTCAGAAGCCAGAGGTGTTTGTAGCTGAGCTGATCTCTCCTGTTCTCTAGCTTCTGTCTTGGTAGTTCTCTGCAGAACTGAAATATCAGACCAGCCAGAGGTGTTTTTGCAGAAGGAACTAGATTCACCTGATTAATCCAAGGAGACACAATCTGCATCTTATATTGCCAGCAACACTGCATAATAAGATAGCCCTCCCTATTAATAGGTATATTCTACTGAAAATACATGCTGGAAGGGGTTTTATGCCTGGTTTTACCCTGACAGAAGATTGTGTGGACCAGGGAGGAGATCAGGCCAAGCTGTGGGAATACCTGACGTTAGTAAACAGGTTCCTTCCCTGATCTGGATCTACACACACGGCCCAGTTTTTAATCTTACATCTTTGAACTTGCTATGTTGGCAAAGGGCAAAACCACAGCCTTCCACACAGGTAACAGATATATGATACTGCTGCCAAAAAAAGACCAAGAAACAGATATGTACTCCAATCAGAAGTTAGCATAGTACACACTAATGTGGAATAATTTCTGTATTTTAAAAACAAAAAGTTGTTTTAAAAACAAAAGTTTTGTTTTCCTAGTGTTCAGTTCTAATACAAGTTTATACTTTTCTTCATACTTTTTAAGTACCCCAGATTTCCAATGAAATGTCTAGAAGCTGCTTACAATCTGGATGGATACGTAAGAGCAAAGCTCAAATAAAAGCCATAATACTCTGCACTTTGTTAAACAGCAGTTCTTCCCATTACTCACTACTTTCACCCACCCATCCTTCTGGGCAAGGAGGGATAAATACAGCTCAGCTAGCATTAATTCTGCATCTTGTAGAAACATCACTAGGAAGAGAACAAGCACACACATGATGCCAGATGGAAGAGCTGAAAGCTGAAAGTTACAAATGCACCGTCTTTCTGCAAGCGCTATATTGTCAATTAACGTATACGGACTACAAGAAACAGGTTTTTTGCTTCTTGGAAATGGGAGGAAATACATCGGAAATCAAAATGGTTTAGTTTAATTTGCCTCTTATTGAACCTTCCTGTGGTTAAGTTAGCATTTTACTCCTCTCTTCAGTCCTCTGTGTGTGCAAATACACTAACTTAGAAATCCTTCAAATCCTAAAACATGCTTAACCTCTTGCACAGGAAGGATGAAGCAGAAAGAGCTCTTAATTGGAGACTGTAGATTCTACAGTACCTGCTAGTCCTTCAAGACCTTTTTGTCCCATGTTCTTTGGTCCTGTATCTATCACAATTCATTCACATAATGCTCAATTTTTACAAGAAATAGAAAATCACATGTAACATGAACAGAGGAACCTAGTGCAGTCAGTAAGGTATTTTCTGCAAAAAAACTTTGCTTTAAGAAGAAAATGACATTACACTGAAAAGCAAATAAATAGAAAATTTTCCAACTTGTGGGTCAACCAGTCGTGTGATGTTAGGTTTAGATTCATTACTACTTTCCAAACACTATCCCATGTCTTCTTTCCCAAAACTTTTTCTTCTAGGCCACTCTCACTATCCAAGTGAAAAAGTGAAAAGGAGAAAAGAAGCTGAGCCAATGTAATGCCTCATTCATTGAGAACAGAGTGGTGTTCCATAAGCTGAATGTTTTGTTTTAGTCTCCAAGCTCTCAACACCATCTGTCCAAATAACAAGGAAATATTTAGATAAGTCTTCTTTTGGTTAGAAATACAAAATAGCAGGCTAAAAAAGAAGAGACTTCCTGTTTATATTAAAGAGATAATTAGAGCCAGACCAATGTTAAACTTAAGGAAGTTCTTGTCTTCATTTTAGAACTGCAACTTTGACTCCATATATATAAAGGTATCTGAAAATATTCTGATATTTGGCTGTCATACCAGGGGCCATTTCCAAAATCAGAAGAGGACAGTTCAGAGCTGCAGATTTATAATTATTGCTCTCAAGTTAAGATGAAGAGAAAGTGTTGACAATGTAAAATTTCATGCTTATGTTTCTTACTGGAATCCAGATCAGTTGAGTATAGATTAAAAACTACTGTCACCTGATGGTGTTGGATAACTTTTATCAGCCACTTAGGGATACACCATTTCAGTCCCAGTGAAAGATGTCCATATCACAGAATCGGCACAGGAACAGATACCAGAGTTGGCATATCTGCAAAAAAAGGCAGTGATTGAATGGGCACAGAGGGAAAACAGCTTCACACTCTCCCAGGCTGTGTCTCCAGATCAGAGCAGAGATAGCACGAGTTGCACTTTGATAGTGTAAGCTCTTCAGTTTCAAAGGTGACAACGTAGCATATTTCAACACCATTAACTTGCCCCAAAAAACCCAAAACACCACAGTTTGGTTTTGGATTTTATTTTTATTAAGGATCATACCAGTGTATCTGAGTGACATAATAGTTCACATGCTTATGTACTGGGTTAGACTACCATGCTACACTTGGATTAGTTACTGAATATTTTGTACCTTGTTAAGACAATGCTGAGGACTTTTGTAATGAAAAGTGCAGGTTAAAAGAGATCTAGTCACAGATTATGCTATTTTTTTTAAATCCTGTCACAACAATACTACAAAAGACTTCATACCAAGCCAAAGAAAAAAGTTCAGGAAGTTTAAAATATTATTATTCATAAACCTTTTGCAAATTAATTGTTTTTCTCTCTTTGAGAAAAAAAACATTATTTTTGGTGGAGTAACTCAATTTATGTGACAGAACTCAGCTAAAAGGAAGGTGTCATAACAAATATCATCATGGATCAGAACTACAGGACAGAGGAATAAAACACAGCTTTTGTAAAAGGAGCTCTTAAAAAATTGGCGCTAACCAACAAAAACTACTTTATTCTCTTTTCAAAACTCTTGAGAAATAAGCACAGTTCATTCTTATGATGAAGGGACAAAAACATCCATATTAGCCAGCCAAGTTTCTAACATTTTTTCCCAGTTAGAAATTGGGAATTCTTGGAATTCCCTAATAAAATGACAAGAAGAAGAAAGTAAAACCCACTAGATTATACTTTATAAGAAGGTTCTATTTGTGAATAGTTTTCAAAGCACTAACCAGTAAGTAACAGAATTTGCAAGATTTTACAGGGCTGAGGACTGTGTTTGAAGATGAGGTTAGGCATATCAGTAGCAGTCATAGATGGCTATAAGCTGCATCTGTTGTCTTGTTCAACCTGATGTTAATTCATTAACCTCCTATCATTTTGGGGGATAATTTATTCACTTTTTTAGGAATTAAAATTTGATTTTTATTCACTTGAGTGATTCACATGCAACTGGTGATAAACAGCCAGTAAAGGCTTCACCCACTCTTCTGTCTCTCTGGCACCCCAGACACATCACTAAAGCCCTGTACTCTCAACACGCAGGTTCATGTGCGTTCCAGATAACACAGTCTGGATACAGCAAGCAGAGACTCTTGTGAGAAAATCCTGACTCTCTGGGACCTAATGGCTAAGTCAGATACCTTTCTCCTGTTTCTTTGATGTCATATTTAGCACAAGTCAGATTTAAGGATTGGGCTGAAAAAACATTAAATTCTTCATGAAACAAAGAAAAAAAAAAGAAAAACCTGATGAAATAACCCCAAAGATGCAGCAGCATGGAGAACCTTTTTCCTTATTCCAGATGTTAATTCATATTAAAAGGTAGCATTAAACTAAATTCAGTTGTTCCCTACTGTTAATTTTTCATCACTAAAAAAAGTATATGTTAATGAAGCTACAAAACTGTCCATGCTGTCACAAATGGAAAGGAGTTCTAATTATGAGATAATCACAGATTTGAAAATTTTTTGTTACCTGAAAAATTTGAGGGTATCTGTTTTATAGTACTAAATAACAATTGTTCTCTTTAAACAGAAAAGCAAAGAACAAAACATTCATCAACAACTAAAGAGATAAGTAACCAAAGAAGAAATAGAAGATTTGACAAGTCCACTGAAAGATTTCAGAGATTCTATTTTAAGCGTACCGACTGCTTACATGAATATAACCATTCTCATCAAGAATGCCCATAAATTGACAAATTGAAAATAACACTTTCAAAGTTATATCTATAGGGAAATGTTATTAGTCATCTTCTCTTCCTTGTAGTGAATGGAAATGCATGTTAATTTCCTTCTGCTTTTGCAGCCCGTTTCAAATTGTATTCACTGTACAGTACTATAATTTGTCTTCCAGTACAAAGATTATAAGTAAATGTGTTTGTAAAAATTATTCATAATGATCTATCCTTAGTGTTATTTACACTGGTTATTTTAAAATATAAAGAAAGTAATACCTAGCATTTCTAAAGAGTCATTCATCTGTAAATTTCATGACATTTTATATATATTAATCAATTAAGGCTTACTATACCTATCTCAATTAGGCATTAATATCCCAATTTTACAGCTAGTTACACTGAGGATAGCTTGAAAGGTTAGCTATCTTGCTAATATTACTCAGGAATGGGGATAAAACCCAAGAATCTCAATCTCCATGTGTAATAAAAAGTTAAAAGCCTCTTTCCTCTTCTAGAATGGAAAAATATGATAAAAATAAAAGGCAAAATCAATGGACAAAAGTTTGGGGCATTAAAGGCCTTTTTCCTTTTCTTGTTAAACTACTGCTTTACAAGCCTTTTGAATAGGGGTGAATATATATGACCAAGAGATTCCAACAAAAGTTCCACAAGCTACAGTCCTATAGATAAAAAAAACTTAGGGGCACAGAAGTATACTCCATACCGGCTGTGCCCGTCCCCACCTCCCAAGCCAGATTAAGTAGCTGGAATTGAAGAGAACTGAATCAACTTTGTACCACTTGAAAAGGTTCTTTCAGCTGGCTACCTTGGGACAGGTCCAGGCCACTTCATGCTTCTTTAAACTGTTAAAAAAAAAAAAAAGAAAAAAGAAGAAGAAGGAGAAGAAGGAGAAGAAGAAGAAATCTCATTAACAGAACTGCATAACTTCATATCAAGTTAATTCTACCAAACTTGTCAATTTAATGCCATTAGACAGTCATTTCATTTTAATTTTCTGTTCTATTTCTAATATGCAAACTAGAGAAAGGTCATCCTGTTTCTGAGGCAGTGCAGGCTGTCGCTGACTACAAAATGGTAAACCAATGTGCTCCCAGGTGCACAGCCTAATGTAACCTGTATTAATAACTATAACATGGGTATTTTTCCTATATTCTTTCATTACTAATGTCTTGAATTCAGAGTTGACCATTTGTTTTAAAAATGCACTTTTATTAGTATCTTAAATTACAATCCTTTATTGCTGATAATCTTCTAATTTGATACAGAAGCCACTACAGGTTTCTTTTTATTCAGATGTTCTATGAGCATATAGGAAAAATATACCATATTGCTGTACGGTGCTTGTTTTCATGCTACCGTTCCTCACAGAGGGGGTCTGTGATAAATTATGGTCTCTTGGCATTCACTCTGTTTCAGCCTTCACACTAAATGAGGCAAGGATCATTGGGAGGTGTTATCATTTGATATTGCTGTCCTATCATCATCAAGACTGTCATCACATCTATGCACTAAACAGACAGAATTACAATTGCATAGGCACCCTCTGTTCTGGCTCTTCCTCTTTCTTTTTTTCAGTGTTTGACTTAATGGGCTTAATGTTCTTTTAATTTAGGGTTATTGCATGGAACAATTTAAAATAGTCCCATTCCCAAGGAACTGCTGATGTAAACGACTGTCATTGAGGTTCTGAGCCAGATAGACAGAATACCTCCATAATGGCCCTGTGTTAGGGAGAAAACCCTAGATCCAAGTCCTGTTCACATAGCCTGGCTGATCTCCAAACTGTTCAAGATGAGCACCCTCCTACAGGCCACAGCAACGCAGTACATCAGTCAGAGCAAACCATGGATATACAACTGTTCCTCACCATCTCCAGCCACAAGCCATTCTCATACTCTTGGTGTATCTTAATTACTTTATAAGTGCTTCACGCCTAACATGACTTCACCAGTATGCTCTGTAAAAGGAATCTGCACCCAATGTATCACCTTGTTAATTCATGACAGCTCCCAATGTTTCAGAAACCCATTAAAGGACCCTTAAAGGATGACCAGGACCCTGTGGTGTCTAGCAACCCCAGTTCTTTCTAAGTGGAAAATCAGTGTGGCACAAAGGAAGTCCGTAACATCAGTTTTCTACCCCTGCATACTCTGTATCACCTAGATGTTCCTAAGGTCATGAAGACTTTCAAACAGCAAGGAGTCCCTAAATGTGGAGAAGCTATTGGTGAGATTCTGAACCCAATACAGTGCTCCCACAAACCTCTTATAATTGCATGAATGAGAAGAGACACCAACTTATGGTCTTGCTGTCCTGCATTGATTACTATAGATACGGTGGACACCATGGCTGGCTATATCAAGAAGTTTTGTATTGGGACAGAAGAGCACCCTCTTTTCTCCAGTGAGTTACAGCAATCAAGGAATTCCAACACTACTGTATCTAAAAAGCCATGAATTAGGCTATATTACATCCAGAAATTAAACCCTAGGAAGAAGCAATCAGTGACCTTCTCACCCAGTGAAAGGACCATCCAGGTTCCTGGAGGGAGCTGCAGGAATGTGCTTGGGCATATGTTTTCCAAGAAATAGTCTTATGCCTTAGTGAGCAAGTAATATGACTGGTACGCAAGGCTGAGGGAGAAGCATGAGGGGGAAGCCAGAGAGGGGAACACTTCCTGTGTAATCAATGCCATATAAGCTTAACCCAGTTCTTGCTGCCTGTGGTCGTTAGGTCGAGATATATGTTAGAGGGTAGGATTTATCTTCCCAGCCTGCGTGGCACCACTCTGAAGATGATGCTGTGGAATTTGACACACGTGAGGAAGGCGCTAGTGGGAACACAAATGTGCACAGCCACATACCGATGTGAATTTGTCAGAGTGAATTTGGGTTGCCAGGTGCATGTGCACTAGTGATTACACACTTGTACAATAGTGCTCACTGAGACTCAAGTGCACTTGTACAATAGTGCTCACTGAGACTATATGCCTTTCTCTTGGCTGCTAGCAAGCTAAGCTGAGTCACTAGTACTGAGTAGAGGCATATTCTCTAGCCAATACTATGCTAACAGTGAGCAAAGCCTGTAAAACTGCTGATTAAAGCGGTCACTTTTTTCTCATGAATGTGATTGATACGGAAAGAAGGGATTCTGGAAACCACTTCTGGCCTGTGAATACAAAGTTTTTGTGATGGCCACCTCCTCCTTGGCTGTCCATTACCATACAGCATATGTTCCCTAAGAGCTGCCCCATTCTCCTCTCCCCAACTTCAAACAACTACAATAAAATCAAAGCCCTTACCCAAGCTGTTTGCTTGTCTTGTCCTGGGACTTCTATCTTACTGCTACTACAGAAATGTGAGAGAGATTTGGACTCCTTAACTCTTCTACTTAGGGCCTGATCTCCATGATGGCTCTGTAGTGGCTTTCAGGCCAAAAATCTAGCGCCGCTCAGCATAACGTAAGTACTTATGCAGAGCTACCCAAACGGTCTATTGGCATGCTGACCTTTTACTAGGCAGCTGTCAGGGTTTCTTCTGCGAGTTGCTTGGTTCTGTGGTCAGAACCAACAGTGCTGAGCTGCCTAAACCACCTCTTCTTGTGCACTACCACAAAACCTTTCCTCAGCATAAACCTAGGCTACCTCCAAGCAGATGATCACAAAAGCCTTGATCTCCTCAGGTCTCATTTCTTACCTGCGTGCGCCTATAACGTTACAGTTTTTTTCCTTTGTTGGTTCAAAGTAAGTCAGAAGCCTAAATAATTTAAGGTTGCTCTGCAGCAAGACAGATTTATGTTATCAGGTATGAGACACAAAATGTGTGGTGCATGTCCGATGGCACTAAGGGAACATACGAATCTCCAAGGCCTTCTGGATATAATTGGAATACATCATGGTGGTAGAGGAAACGAACACCAGCACGGGTCTACACTGTCCATATGGAGCAGCTACTAAAGTGAATTGTCTTCTCAAACAACCCCAGACTTCCTCTTAGAAGGAAGGAAATTATTTGTTCTAGGTAGAAGCCTGAAAGATGACTTGGGGCACCAAAGCCTCAGAGGTCTCAAAGCATCTTGGATTGACAGAGTAGGTACACCCTACAGGCCTGGCACACCTCAGAGTCATGGCAGAAGGTGAACAAAAGCTTTCTACCAGCCCACTGGCCTGACAGTTCACCCTCCAGTAGTCACACCAGATCAAGCACCTGGGATTACTTGTGGCCCACAGTGGGCCTGAGCTATGTTTCCTCCTTCACTTGACATATCTGCTCTCTCTGCAAATCTCTGTCATTTAAGGACTCCCCACCCTAAGAGAAAACCCAGTTATCATTAGGGTTCCCCTCTAACTCTTCGGCACCTCCCAAATCACACAAAGAGGTGAGGGGAAGGCTCCTTTATTTGTAACCAAGAGAAACTGTGATCTGCTTTACTGTTCAACTTGAAGCAAGTAAAAGAGTTAAACTGTTTTATAAATGTTTCTATAATGCAAGACATTTTCAGTGTTTCAGGTGGAATAAAAGCACTCGTTAGTTCACCAATTTGCATAAGTAAAGTAGTTTAAATTGTGTTAGAAAGATATTATGACCAAAATGTTATTATTAGAAACCAACACCCTGAAAACACTAACTACTGAAAAATGTTTTTGTCTACCTTTATAAATTACCCAAATGTCGTTCCTCATCCATTACTGACAATAATACCTGAGTGATATGCATTATGCATTAAATATTTTTATAATCATTCAGAACTATTTGTATTAAACAGTAATAGCAGATATTCACTTTATATTTAAAAATGTTAAAGTCGACAGTATTCAGTATGTATCAGAATATCATAGATTAGATTATGGTAGATTTCTTCAGGCAATTTTATTTTATATGGAGTGGAAGGGTGGAAGATTGAGCATTTTTAATCCAAAAAATTCTGCTCACGATTTGACCTAAACTGATAAAAGCAGAGAAGTTCATATCTGAACCTGTCACTTAAAGGTGAACTAAAAATCTTTGGGAGTAACAGCAAAGAATCAAAATCAGCAACGTAGTATATGAACAGAGCTAAAAATTTCAAATACCTTTACATTTAGAAAACAGAACATGGAGTCTGTAGCCACTATCTTATTTGTCTGTAAATCAAACAAAGTCTGTATCAAAAGTGTTACCACACAGTAGCTGTTAGGTAATCTGCAATACAATTTAGTGGGCATCTTTATTCCAGAAATCCAGTTACACAACCAGTATTTTTGTAGAATCAACAGAGAGGATATGAATGAACTGTTCTCTAATCATGCTGGCAAGGCAGAGGAGGACATTCTGCACTCCACTGTCTACTGTCATCAGTTTGACACCTTTTTTTTTTTTTTTTAACTTCAGGAGCCCGTTTCAGATCTTAATCCTATAAGAATGGAATTTACCCTTAGCCTTATAGTGCCTGAGAAAGTCCCCCAGTTTATATTCTAGTGCCCACACTGAGGGCAAGTAACAGGATGAATCTGTGGATGCTGCAGAATGTTTTTTTCTCCTTGAGACACCTCACAAAATTCCACAAGAAAGCACACCTAGGCCTTGTGGGAAGATATAAGGGCACTACTGATAATCATTTGATCTATCCAGAGACAAACAGCCAAGGTTGTGTAAGAGACACCAAACCACCTGGAGCCAAACACTACTCCAAGAGGTAACACTATTTTTTTCAGTGTATGCAATACAAACACAACTATACCCTGCTCTGGCTTGGGTATCTTGGCATCGCACGATTATTCACTGTTCACAGTAAAAATGTTATTGCTTTCATTACTCCAGAATAAATATAAAAATGGAACTGTAATACTGCCACTGGAAAGAACCATATTTCCTTCCAGCTTTGTTCCCTTGGTTATACCAGCTTGCTGACCCAGAACCAGCCTGAGCTAATCTTGTCTTTCACTACTGCAAGTAACAGGGAGTTTCACTCCATTCATGTCACAGAAATTACAAATGTAGGTCCAAAAACAAAGTCAACTTGTTTCCACACCCAAGACTGACCCCCAGGGCAACTTTTTCTCATCGTCTTTGCTGCACAAATGATTTTAAGGGGGATATTAAAAGAAGCAGGCAGTTTGGGCCAAGAACAGCATCCACCTCCGCTGTAAAGAGCATGTTAAAGCTCTGTGGTTGTTTATATGGATATTGTAGCCAGAAACAAACTCTTTAAAAAAAAAATCTATGTACTCTATGTAGTTTTCATGATGAATGAGAAAAAATGGCAGCAGGTTCTTTTTTTAAATCATCTGGATATTAATGTAATTTATTATCAATAATAACCAATATGAAAGGTTATCAATAGGCACGGGGAAACTGAAGCATCTACAAGGAATTTTAAATTGGGTTGTAAGGTTTACTATTTTCCTTAGATGGTATAATTTGGGTCCAACCATTCTTCTTTGCTATTAACATACTTAGATATTAAAAACCTATAATACATATGACGGCATCCTGCTTAAATTTGTTTTTCCCATTGAGGTGATGATAAAAATGTGGGAACAAAACAATGGATGATTACTGAACCAAAACATTTGCTTACCACAGTCCAACTCTGTTCGTGTAGAAGTAAATGAGAAAATTCTGCTTTTTAGTTCGAGGAGAGAAGAAGTAAACCCTAACTGAAGTAGCCACAACAATATTATATTATCTCTGTCTTGGAGCTATTCAACCAAAGAATACTCTTATACAGTGTTAATAAATTGCTTTTCAAAAATGGTGTTTTGCTAATTGATTTTATCCTTGTATATTAATAACATTCAAACAAGTCTACCAAAGCCATATAATAATACCATTTATACCTCTGTCTTACTAGCAGGGAAATCATTCATAATTTCAAGGCCACAGATATAAAACATCATATTTATAAATCTAAGATAAACAGCAAGAATATCAATTTCAAATATTATAGAAAAGTGTGGTGACTACTATTTCAAAGGACTATATATATGTATATATGTCATCATTACATGTGTACTTTGTATTACATCATTTCATGATTTTGAAAATCAGAAGAGGAATGAGAAATCTTCAAGCATAGATTTGCTTCTGGTCACCGAGTGATGCAGAACATGAAACTTGCAGCAGCACTGGCATACAAAACAACACTACTTAATTCTGACAAGAGAGCATGGAACCCTAAACAGGAATGAGATGATCCTCTTGATTTGACTATGCTATTATGCAGCAGACAGCGCATAACGTTGCAGCATTTCTACAGCGATTGTGAGACCAAGTTCTTGTCTTTGTTATGCCACTGTAATGCATTAAAGCATTTATTATTGTATCCTCATTAAAACTCTTTGTAATTGATAACTAAATATTAGGACCCCCTTTTACAGATACAGAGCCACACAATAAAGTTGCACACGGTCAACGGTAAACCTGTCATTAGAACTTAAGCGTTGCTATCTCTGTTCAGTCTCTATTCTTCTGTGGCCACTACTTTGAAAGCGTACTTGAAAAGACCACTTATTTACTGTAAGGACTCATGACCTTGACCAAGCAAGCTCCTGTTGCCTTTAATCTCTGCTCTTGACACTAAAGGCAGTATATTCATCAGAGTGGGGAGCACCTGCATGAAGCTGGTCAGGAAAAAAAAACTTTACATATATGTTCAGCCTACTTTGTCATCCATTGAGCAAATGAACTTAATATAAATGCAGAAAGAAACAGAAGAAAGAAATGTATTTCTTATGGGAAAAGAAATGACATAAAGGGTAACTCTCCGCTCAAGTAAGGAAAAATAAAAATTGCAATTAGATGAAGTAGGATGCATGCTGAGCGCCTTCTTGTTCTTAGTCTGCTTCAAACCCTTTAACTTTGGGGGAAACAGGCAGCCTTTACAAGAGGGTTGGGTTCTGTTCTCTTCAAAGATGTATATTTTTTGAGACAGAGAATTCCAATAGAGAAACTTTTACACCCTGAATTTACTTTTTTAATTGTTGCCTGTTTCCATACAACTCATATTCTATTCCCTGAACCTTGCCAGAGAAAAGAGCAAATACACAAAAGCCATACAAGCAAGTACACCAGATTTTGAGGAAAAAGTTTTCACTGTTCAGATGTGAACAGTGAACACTGTTCACTGTTTCAGATACTGAAAGTACTGGCCAAGAAGAAATGCTGCTACAGACACTTGTTTGCCTTCTGACTTTTTTACATAGGAAACTGCGAGCAGAGCTTGTATCGTCATTCATTAGTAGCCCTCTTCCTTTTGACACCTTGTAGGATTCTACGCTTTTGACGTGCCTTTTTTTTTCTCTTGGCACTCTGGCGGCTCACTCATTTTATCTCAATAGAGTATACGGTAGAAGTGGCTATGTGCACATTTTTAAGCTAAACTTGCATTTCCTGATATTTTGCATGTTTCTCCCTCTCCTTGTTTTTCTCTACCTCCAGGTAACCCACATAGCACAACAGCGAGCACAGAGGTGATATTCCAGTTGAAATGAGGTAATGCTGAAAATTAAATTTACACACAACTGTTCAGAGTCTGGGTCAGAGCTGGGTCACTTCTCTGAGTGGGAGGCAATCCAGCAAGGAGCACTGGATAATGATTTCTCTACGCTGAGACCCCCTTATAAAATATAGCACAACGCCCTACCTTGATATCTGAATCTAATCTGATTCAATGTGTATAACTATTGGAACCGGTAGTGCGGTGGCAAGGGGTTATGTTATTCCGTTACATGCTGCACTACATCTCTTCTTCCTTTGAACCAACTAGCGCCCACAAGTAAGCTCTCCAGTGTCTAAACTCTTACCCAGAGACAAAGGTTTAGATAGGAGCTGGCTGGCTGAGGCTTTTTACAGAATACAGTGTCCTTTTCAGAGGCAGGGGGGGGGGAAAAAAAAAACTCCTACTTTTTTCTTGTTTCTTGATCAAAGAGAGGAACATGGACCTTTTTTTTTTTTAAAACTGCTTTTTGTAGTGCAGGGCTATGTTTGTCTCAGCTGCTCCTGGCTGGTCACCTGCAGCCAAGGCTGTTCATTCCTAACTGCATTTGTCCAGAGTGCTCATTTCCTTCTAGGTACAGCTATCACATATCCCTTCATAACCTTGAGATGAGCTTTCTGTAATGGCTTCCAAGAAGCCCTTGTCTTGAGATATTAGGAAGTTTTAAAGGCCTGCAAAACACCTCTGCCCACATGCTAGTAACTGGGCCTTCATAGGAGGTGCAGGCTCACCTAAGCAATTCAAGTTGGTGGGATAGCCTTTGCAAACACCTGTGAGGCTTTGAAATGCCATCACATTGAAAGGAAACACAACCTTTGCTATTTCCTTCTGCAGTGCCAACCCTTGGCCTCTTACATATTGTATCCCCAGTGATTTGGGGCTCTACCTGTGAGATTTCTCACTGCCACATGACAAATCTGCATTCAGCCAGAGGCTGATAATCAGGGCACAGAGAGAGCAGCTGTCAGGGCCATTTTGCATGAAGCACAAGCAGCTCCTACCCAGCAAGGCCCTAATGTGTTGATTTACAGAGTCTCCTTGGCTGACATGGGAAAATGAGTCTGGTCATGGTTGATTTAACATTTTATGGGCAAAGAGTCAGCCTGCTATGGTAAGTTTGGACTACTGCAAACATTGTAAGCATCTATACAGGAGTCCATGGGATGAAAATATTCAGGATACTAAGCAATTTTGAGGCCCACATCACTTGACCTCTGCTGAAAATACGATAAACTTGAATTAAATGAATGCAGAGGTGTATGTTACAGGCCAGACTGCCAGAAATAGCGGTCCACGGGCATATATGGCTAATGCAGGAGGAGTCTGGTTAGAGCACGGGGTTAGAGTCTGGTTAGAGCAGTGGTGCCCAGTGACTGGGGCTTACCGCGTACCCCGGCAGACACGGGGTCCTGGCCAGCAAGTCCCAGCTGCCGGGGCTCGGCCTCGCAGCGAGCACCGACCTGCTCCGGTGCTCCCCGCTGTTACTCACTACGACTCGGACTCCGCTGCCCTTCGCTCTCG